GTAAAAAACATGAAATGAAAGTAAATCCATCATTCGAATGAGACAGCTCGAGACGAAGGAGGAGGTAAAGCATAAGCGAATGATTCCGAACAGGAAATAACTATATGCATGCATACAACTATATGCATGCATACAACTTATGTACACCTCTATCACACCACATGTAAGTGCTGTTTGCCCGTCACAGCCACGCTCATGCATCACCTCCTCTCCAAACACCGTTCTGCGCATGTGCAGTCTCTCGGACGCATCAGAAGCATCAGAAAAATATTCTATCCAAGATATCCGCGTCGTTTCCGTTCCGATCCGACGCGTCGTTTCGTTTCCGATCCGATCAGGTGGGCGTTAGCTCGTTCAAATGTATGGTTTAGATTTTTTTCCAATGCTTCGTGTCCGTTCCGACGCGTCGTTTCCGATCTGGTGGGCGACAAGCTTTAACGCACCGGGCCGCGGTTGATTAGGAAGGGCATTCAATCAGGCAAGGGTGATACTGCCATGTAAACTCTCGATAGTGAATTGAAAGAGACCTATGTCCTGCAGTGGAATGAATGGCAGTTGGAAAAAAAAAAAAAAAAAAAAAAAAAAAAAAAAAAAAAAAAAAAAAATATATATATATATATATATATATATATATATATATATATATATATACATATATATATATATGTATATATATATGTATATATATATACATGTGTGGCAATCAATAAATGATGTCAGCTGCTTTATAAATTGATGACCGTGAGTATTGCAAACAGAGCCGTAAATGTTACTCTTAATATGAATATCATTATTATCATTGGTCATTATTGTTATTATTATTATTGTTGTCATTATCCTTATCATCATATTTGTCCATATTATTACTACTATCGTCATCATTATAATTATTATCATTATTAATGATAATTATTATCATTATTAATGATAATTATTATCATTATTATCATTATTAATGATAATAATTATCATCATATTTTCCTTATTATCACTATTATCGTCATCATTATCATTATTATTATTACCATTACTGTTGTTGTTAGTGTTGTTATTACTATCATTACCTTTATTACTATTATTATCACTAAAAATTAATTACTATTGTTATTATCACTATCATTACTGTTACTAGTATTATTATTGCTAAATTCATCATAATTAATATCATCATTATTATCATTATCACCATCATAATTTTAACTCTTTGTTAGTGTTTATATTATCATTATCATTATTATTATCATAATTATTGTTATCGATTGTTATTACTACTATAAGTAAAACTGTTATTATTGTTGTTGTTATCGTTAATATTACTATTATCATCATTATTATCATCAATACATCTTTTACTAATCGTTATTATTATAACAACTTTCACTAGCCTTACTGTTTTAACTGTTATGAATATTATCATCACTGTTATCATGAACATACTTAGTCTTGTTATTCCTCTTATGACCATCGTAACGAGTCTCAAATCTATTTTGTCAATATTTTTACTATTACAATTAAAAATAATAGTATTGCCATAATCATCATTAGTATTACTAATATTGTAATAGTCATTAATCATAATAATAATAATGATACTACTACTAACAGTAATAATAATAATAATAATGATAATAATAATAATAATAATAATAATAATAATGATAATGATAATGATAATAATAATAATAATAATCATAATAATAACAATAATTGTAATTGTAGTAGTAATGATAATTATAATAATAATAATAATAATGATAATAATAATAATAATAATAATAATAGTAATAATAATAATAATGATGATAATGATAATAATAGTAATAATAATAATGATGATGATAATAATAATAATAATAATAATAAAACAATAATGATAGCGATAATGATAATAATGAAAACAACAACAATAATCATTATCGTCACAACCATAACCATAATGATAATAATAATCACTATTATTATAACAAAACAATAACGATATTGACTGTAACAATACTAAAACAACAAAAATAATGATAATAATAACAATATATAAAGACAGAAATGCTAATAACTATAACAATAACAATGGTAATGATACCACATAAGAAAGTCAGAATGGTAATTATGATAACGGATACGATAAAAATGATGATGATAAAAGAAACGGCAGTAGACCAGTAATAACAATGATATTATCAGTGATAATGAACAATGGTGATGATAATTTTACTAATAATGATAAGAACATCATTAACTACATAAACAATAATACTCTAATACGCGTAATACTGATGGTATCAATGATAATGGTGGTAGGTATAAAATGATAATAATAATCATTATATCATCAATAATGATACCAGTAATATTGATGATGGAGTTGATAAAGATGATATAAGATGACAATATGAAAAATCATCACTGAACCAGAATTATCATTGTATATTTTAATTTCCCTAAGCTTGATACCATACATATAATTTCATAAATGATGCGTGTTGTACTACGAGGATAATAA